TTTTTATTGGTAGTAGTATAAAACCAGAAGTCAGGTTATGAAGCCATCCTCACTTTCATTATTTTTTTTCTTTGATCGTGAGGCTTGAACTCTGGGCCTGGGCACTGTCCCTCAGCTCTTCAGCTCAAGACTAGCGCTCTACCACTTGAGCCACAGACACTTCTGGTTTTCTGGTGGTTCATTGGAGATAAAAGTTTCACAGACTTTCCTGCCTGGGCTGGCTTTGAACCGCAATCCTCAGATCTCAGCCTCCTGAGTACCTGGGGTTACAGGCCACTGGCACCCGGCTCATTCTTTTTTAAACATGATCTCGTTTATTGCTCAGGCTAGCTTAGACCATGGTTTTTCTAGTTATGCTTCCTATGCAGCAGGGATGACAGGGTGAGCCACCAAACCCAACTTGTTATTGGTTGAGATGGGATCTCGTTAACTTCCTGTCCGTGCCGACCTTGAATCCCAGATCTTTCTCGCCTCCGGCTCCCAAGCGTGAGGATGAAGTGTCTGATCCTCTCCGGCTCAGGGTGACGGTTTTCAAAAGCGCCGTGTTGTAGTTAGCTCCCTGTGTGCACCCACGCCAGGGTGGAGCGGCCCGGCAGCGCCCAGCACCGCACCCCCGGCCTCAGAGCCTGGCGGAGTCAGCGCACACAGAGCCACGGCCGCCAGCCGGGGAGGGATGCGGGAAGGGCAACAGAGGCCAGATAAACCAAAGAAAGCAGGTCTGTGGATCTGCTCAGGACATGGCCTCCCTAACCAGAGCAGGGGCCAAGGAAAAGAGCAAGACTGCTCTTGGGAAGCCATTTATGTAATTCCTGAAATGGAAGCCCTGATGACAGAAGGGAGGAGACTCGGGGCATAGAACGGAGGAAGGCACGTGAAAACCTGAAACGGGACAAAGGCCAAACCCAGAATGTGAGGCATTGGAGCTGGGGCACCCCAGGAAAAAGCCAGAAAGCCAATAGAAGAGAAGAGTGACCGGAGTGTCCTGACCAACCGTAAACCCCACAAGCTGAGCTGAGGAGCGAACGGTGACATCTCAAAGGAACGCCCAGCACTGAGCACGCACAGAGCCACAGGTACGCTGGCCCCCGCCCGTGATCCGAGGCACTCAGGAGACAGACATCAGGAACATTACCATTCGAGGCCAGCTTCTGTCTCCAAAACCACCAGAGCAATGACGGTGCACGTTGTGCTTCAGGCTGATCTGGGCAAAAAGCAAGACCCTCCCTGAAAAAGGAAAACAAGAGGAGTGGGTGTGTAGCTCAACTGGCAAAACTCCTGTGTGGCCAGCGAGGGCCTGAGTGCCAATCCCACCACTTCCCCAACTCAAGAGCAGACTTTGGAGCCTCTGATTCTGAGGGAAAGTGATTTACAACCCAGAGCGGCTACTCCAGCACCACAGATGATCAGGTCTCCGAAACTGAGTCGCTGCGCACAATTGCCAGAGAAGGGTGTGAAGACTGTTCGGACAAGGCACAACTTTGAGCCCCAAAGGAGGAAGGTGAAGAGGATTTAAGTGGGGACCGTGGCCCCCATGCCCGGTGGGGGACGCAGCAAGCCCTTCAGTGCATCTGGAGGGGCAGGGAAACAGACTGTAACTGAGAACACTCGATGGGGAGAAAGAAGGAAAACAGCAGAAACCCAGGACACAAAGTGCTCTTGAAAGCAGGGCTGTCACCTACAGGCCTACCCAAGGGCCACACTTTTCTCCTAACTTGAATGTTCAAGGAAGCCGAGGCAGAGAACTCTGACCAGCTCAACATATTCTTCTTTGGCTAAAATCCAGCTACTCCGGAGGCTGAGATCTGAGGATCACGGTTCAAAGCTAGCCTGGACAGAAAATCCCATGAGACTGTCATCTTCAACTAATGACAAAAAAGCCAGAAGTGGAGCTGTGGAGTAAGTGGTAGAGCATTAGCCTTAGGCAAAAAGAGCTCAGGAGCAGTGCCCAGGACCCTAGTTTAAGTTCCAGAACTGACAGACACACAAAAACATTTTATATTGCTTTATCATTGATTTTTTTGTATTAATTTAGATTTTTTTTAATTGCATGGAGCTGGGTACTAGTGGCTCATACAGGATCATGATTCAAAGCCATCCCAGGCAGAAAAGTCCATGAGACTCCAGTTAGCCAGCAAAAAGCCGGAAGTGGAGGTGTGGCTCATGCAGTGGAGCCACCAGGCTTGAGTGGGAAAACCTAAGCAAGAGTGCAGAATCCCGAGTTCAAGCCCCTAGTGCCAGCCCCAAAAACAAAAGCACTGAGAGATAGCTCAGAGCCAGCGCCAGTGAGACCCAGCTCCCTCCCAGAGCTGCAGAAACAAGCAGACTTAAGAAAAGGAAGTCTGGGGGTGACAGGCAGAGCTGGCAGTAAAGAAGTCATGGCTCAGAGCTGTGTGAGTGCTTGGAGTCTGAACGAGGCCCCCCAGGGCAGTGTTGGTGCTTGTGTGGCCGGGGGAATCTATGTTAAGTCCTTTTCTTCTGGGAATTTGACCAATATGACCACAGCAATTTAAAATATGAAGCAATTCATACCAAACTGAATTCAAATAAGGAAAAACGTTCATCCTCACACACTCAGAAGCTCTGGAAAGCCAGCCGGGCCCTCTCTGGGGAAGGGTCCGGGCAGACAGCGCGTGCAGAGGGAGGCAGTCTGATGGCTGGCACTCAGCATGGGCGTCTATGGGAAGCTGGCTGCCCACCCACAGGAATCCAGACATTCCCACAGCAGCTCCGGGGGAAATACCATGTACAGACAGAAGACACCGGCAGAGCGACTCTTGCGAGTGACTGGTTCCTGGTCTTCTTTGCTGTCAGTACAGCTGCAGTCACACCTACAGCCATTTTGTGACGGGGCTCGCTGTCTCGCCCCAGCTGGCCTCAACCTCTAGGTCCTCCTGCCCCCACCTCCTCAGTAGACGGGGTTACAGTCATGCACCACCATGCTCAGCCGTTTAGGTACTTTTTTCTTTTGCCAATTCTGGAGCTTGAACTCTGGGCCTGGGCGCTGTCCCTCAGCTCTTCAGCGCAAGGCTAGTGCTCTACCACTGGAGCCACAGCGCCACTTCCAGCTTTTTTCTTTTTGCTTATGTGGTGCTGAGGAAGCAAACCCAGGGCCTCAGCATGCAAGGCAAGTGCTCTACCACTGAGCCACCTTCCCAGCCCCATTTTTAGCTTTTTCTGAGTAGTTTATTGGAGCCTCATGGATTTTGTGCCCAGGCTGGCTTTGAACCTCAATCCTTTGATCTCAGCCTCCTGAGTAGCCAGGATTACAGGCATGAACCACTGATGGCCAGCTTGTATTGTTGCATTTTAATGAATGTTGAGGTCATTGATTTAGGCATAAAAATTCTGTATGTTGAAAAGACATATAGGGTTAAATGGCTGATAAAACAGGGAGGAGAAGCTTGGAGGCTCACATCTGTCATCCCAGCCACCCGGGAGGCTGAGATCTGAGGATCATTGTCAAAGGCAGAGAACTCTGAAAGATTCCATCTCCAAAATAACCAGAAAAGCCTGGGCTAGAAGCTTAGCTTGAGTCATAGAATACCAGCCAATTAAGCAAGCTTAGCTCAAAACTCAGTACCAGCACCAGAAAAAAAAAGTGAGAATGCAAATAAGTAGTGATACAACAAAGAAAGTTCCAGTTATGGGAAGTGGAAGAAGAATAACTTGGAGAATGTACCAAAGAGCAAGAAATGGAAACAGAGGCCTGGAACCTCTGTTCTGGAAGAACCCAGTAAGAGGAGACAGAACACAGGGCCTGGCTTCCCACCCTGTGCACTGAGGCCGTCAGATCAGATTGAGAAATCAGTTTTGTGGGGCAAGGGTGTGACTCAAATGGTAGAGCACCTGCCTAGCAAGTGGGAGGTGCTAAATTCAAATCCTAGGATTGACAGAGAGGAGGGGAGAGGGGGGTGGGGGAGGTGTGAGTTGTGTGTTGTACCTCTATAATCCCAGAACCCTGAATCTTAACTTTGAGACCATCCTGGGCTACACAGGAACTGACGTATTGGGGCAATCGGGACAGCAGCTCCTCACCCTACTGCCTGAGATAGGCCAGAGGCTGCGTGGGAGTGGAGGCTGGCATAGGGGGAGGGGGGAGAGCCTGAGGTGGGGGGGTGGCAAATCAGCCATCCTTGGCTGTCTAGCATTCAGGCTCTGCCTGGGAGGCCCTGGGTGGCCCTAGGTGGCCCTGGGCCACTGCTGGACCTGCTGGACACTGAGCCGGGCACTGTGATACGCCCACAATCAGTCTGGTCGCAAGCTTGTAGGTGGTGTCCAGAGGCCCATGGCCAAAATGATGGTGCCCACAGGGATTCATCGGGGCCCTGTACTGAGGGTTCCGGGGCTCCTGCTTGAGGGACAGCAGGGCTGGGAAGAGGGCCCACACCTGGACTCAGCCCTGGGGGCCAGAGGCGGGGAGGGGTGGCGGTACAGAAAGGCCGCACTGCCAGCTGCCAGCCCCAGCAGCTGCCTGACATGCAGGCGGTAGGAGGAAAGTGGCGCCAGGCCCAGCCACCGCCATGGGAAAGACAGCGGCTGTGGCCAGGCCAGGGCTGTGGCCAGGCCAGGGCTGTGGCCTTGCTGCTCGGGGACGGGGGATGAGGGGGCTGGGACTCACTCGGGAGGTGGGGGGTAGGCCCCTGGAGGACCCTGGCTTGATCTTGTGACACCGGCATATCAGAGCTGTGGCCGCTTTGAGGGCCGATCGATGCGTGGAGGGGCGGATGGGCCTGGAAGCCAGGCAGTGCAGCACCACAGCGGTAGACGCGTGCTGACCACTGATCCTGCTCGTCCTTCCTGGATCCGTGCTCCGGCACCTGGGTCTCAGCCCCTCCCTCGGGAAGGGTCCCACATCTTACCCAGCCTCCGCCTCCCAGGACAGCAACGCCCACACGGGGCTTTAGACCGGCCACCCTACCCACCCTTGAAGGGAAGGCTGTGGTTACTCATTGAACCCAGGAAGTTGTAATCAGGACATCTTCTGGCAATAACCACAGGACCAAAGGCCTCTGGACGCTCTCCCGGCAGGCGCGCCCTCTGTCCGTGCCGCGGGCGCGGTGGCACAGGGCGGCGTGGAAGCACACTCCTGGGACTGGACATGCGGACCAGCCTGTGGCTCTGGGCCCTGGTGGCCGTCTGTGCCGCAGACTCCTTCCGGGACAGGGCCGTGAGCATCATGAAGGAAACACCCGTGGTGGATGGGTGAGTGGCCGCCTGGAGACGGGGAATGGCAGGGCGTGCGCACCTCACCTGGCTGGGCCTCAGTTTCCTGTGGGGTCTCTGGGTAGCCAAACTCCGCCAGAGGAGAAGACAGGATGGGGAGGGGACAGAGGGGGAAGGGGACAGAGGAGGGAAGGGGACAGAGAGGGGAAGGGGGAGAGCGGGAAGAGGGATGGGGGAGGGGACAGAGTCGTGGGGGGGACTGTGAGGGGGAGGGGACAGAGTCGTGGGGGGACTGTGGGGGAGGGGACAGAGTCGTGGGGGGACTGTGGGGGGAGGGGACAGAGTCGTGGGGGGACTGTGGGGGGAGGGGACAGAGTCGTGGGGGGACTGTGGGGGGAGGGGACAGAGTCGTGGGGGGACTGTGGGGGGAGGGGACAGAGTCGTGGGGGGACTGTGGGGGGAGGGGACAGAGTCGTGGGGGGACTGTGGGGGGAGGGGACAGAGTCGTGGGGGGACTGTGGGGGGAGGGGACAGAGTCGTGGGGGGATTGTGGGGGGAGGGGACAGAGTCGTGGGGGGACTGTGGGGGGAGGGGACAGAGTCGTGGGGGGATTGTGGGGGGAGGGGATAGAGTCGTGGGGGGACTGTGGGGGAGGGGACAGTGTCGTGGGGGGACTGTGGGGGGAGGGGACAGAGTCGTGGGGGGACTGTGGGGGAGGGGACAGAGTCGTGGGGGGACTGTGGGGGGAGGGGACAGAGTCGTGGGGGGACTGTGGGGGGAGGGGACAGAGTCGTGGGGGGACTGTGGGGGGAGGGGACAGAGTCGTGGGGGGACTGTGGGGGGAGGGGACAGAGTCGTGGGGGGACTGTGGGGGGAGGGGACAGAGTCGTGGGGGGACTGTGGGGGGAGGGGACAGAGTCGTGGGGGGACTGTGGGGGGAGGGGACAGAGTCGTGGGGGGACTGTGGGGGGAGGGGACAGAGTCGTGGGGGGACTGTGGGGGGAGGGGACAGTGTCGTGGGGGGACTGTGGGGGGAGGGGACAGAGTCGTGGGGGGACTGTGGGGGAGGGGACAGAGTCGTGGGGGGACTGTGGGGGAGGGGACAGAGTCGTGGGGGGACTGTGGGGGAGGGGACAGTGTCATGGGGGGACTGTGGGGGGAGGGGACAGAGTCGTGGGGGGACTGTGGGGGGAGGGGACAGAGTCGTGGGGGGACTGTGGGGGGAGGGGACAGAGTCGTGGGGGGACTGTGGGGGGAGGGGACAGTGTCGTGGGGGGACTGTGGGGGGAGGGGACAGAGTCGTGGGGGGACTGTGGGGGGAGGGGACAGAGTCGTGGGGGGACTGTGGGGGGAGGGGACAGAGTCGTGGGGGGACTGTGGGGGAGGGGACAGAGTCGTGGGGGGACTGTGGGGGAGGGGACAGAGTCGTGGGGGGACTGTGGGGGAGGGGACAGAGTCGTGGGGGGACTGTGGGGGAGGGGACAGAGTCGTGGGGGGACTGTGGGGGAGGGGACAGAGTCGTGGGGGGACTGTGGGGGAGGGGACAGAGTCGTGGGGGGACTGTGGGGGAGGGGACAGTGTCGTGGGGGGACTGTGGGGGGAGGGGACAGAGTCGTGGGGGGACTGTGGGGGGAGGGGACAGAGTCGTGGGGGGACTGTGGGGGGAGGGGACAGAGTCGTGGGGGGACTGTGGGGGGAGGGGACAGTGTCATGGGGGGACTGTGGGGGGAGGGGACAGAGTCGTGGGGGGACTGTGGGGGAGGGGACAGAGTCATGGGGGGACTGTGGGGGAGGGGACAGAGTCGTGGGGGGACTGTGGGGGGAGGGGACAGTGTCGTGGGGGGACTGTGGGGGGAGGGGACAGAGTCGTGGGGGGACTGTGCGGGGAGGGGACAGAGTCGTGGGGGGACTGTGGGGGGAGGGGACAGAGTCGTGGGGGGACTGTGGGGGGAGGGGACAGAGTCGTGGGGGGACTGTGCGGGGAGGGGACAGAGTCGTGGGGGGACTGTGGGGGAGGGGACAGAGTCGTGGGGGGACTGTGGGGGGAGGGGACAGAGTCGTGGGGGGACTGTGGGGGGAGGAGACAGAGTCGTGGGGGGACTGTGGGGGAGGGGACAGAGTCGTGGGGGACTGTGGGGGGAGGGGACAGAGTCGTGGGGGGACTGTGGGGGGAGGGGACAGAGTCGTGGGGGGACTGTGGGGGGAGGGGACAGAGTCGTGGGGGGACTGTGGGGGGAGGGGACAGAGTCGTGGGGGGACTGTGGGGGGAGGGGACAGAGTCGTGGGGGGACTGTGGGGGGAGGGGACAGAGTCGTGGGGGGACTGTGGGGGGAGGGGACAGAGTCGTGGGGGGACTGTGGGGGGAGGGGACAGAGTCGTGGGGGGACTGTGGGGGGAGGGGACAGAGTCGTGGGGGGACTGTGGGGGGAGGGGACAGAGTCGTGGGGGGACTGTGGGGGGAGGGGACAGAGTCGTGGGGGGACTGTGGGGGGAGGGGACAGAGTCGTGGGGGGACTGTGCGGGGAGGGGACAGAGTCGTGGGGGGACTGTGGGGGGAGGGGACAGAGTCGTGGGGGGACTGTGGGGGGAGGGGACAGAGTCGTGGGGGGACTGTGGGGGGAGGGGACAGAGTCGTGGGGGGACTGTGGGGGGAGGGGACAGAGTCGTGGGGGGACTGTGGGGGGAGGGGACAGAGTCGTGGGGGGACTGTGGGGGGAGGGGACAGAGTCGTGGGGGGACTGTGGGGGGAGGGGACAGAGTCGTGGGGGGACTGTGGGGGGAGGGGACAGAGTCGTGGGGGGACTGTGGGGGGAGGGGATAGAGTCGTGGGGGGACTGTGGGGGGAGGGGATAGAGTCGTGGGGGGACTGTGGGGGGAGGGGACAGAGTCATGGGGGGACTGTGGGGGGAGGGGATAGAGTCGTGGGGGGACTGTGGGGGGAGGGGATAGAGTCGTGGGGGGACTGTGGGGGGAGGGGATAGAGTCATGGGGGGACTGTGGGGGGAGGGGACAGAGTCATGGGGGGATTGTGGGGGGAGGGGATAGAGTCGTGGGGGGACTGTGGGGGAGGGGACAGTGTCATGGGGGGACTGTGGGGGGAGGGGACAGAGTCGTGGGGGGACTGTGGGGGAGGGGACAGAGTCGTGGGGGGACTGTGGGGGGAGGGGACAGAGTCGTGGGGGGACTGTGGGGGGAGGGGACAGAGTCGTGGGGGGACTGTGGGGGGAGGGGACAGAGTTGTGGGGGGACTGTGCGGGGAGGGGACAGAGCAGGGAGGGGACAGTGGCTGGGCCCCCAGCTCCAGGCCTCAGCACAGGGCTGGGGCTCCCCGCAGAGGGTCTGACTGGAGGAGCCTTGTGTCCAGTCTGGGCCTCCGGGGTGAGGGTGTCTCCCTCGGGTCCTCAGAGAGCCTGGCCCGGGGCCCACGCCCTGGTGCCCACCCACCGCTGCCCGCTGCTGGGTGACCTCTGACCTCGGAAGGGTGCTTGCCCCAGCCCCACGCTGCCCCCCACAGCCCATGTGCCTCCAGCTTCCTTCACCCCACTTTCCCTGCTCCCCCTCTGGGTCATCATGAATATTCATGATCCCCGTGACCCCCAGGCTCCACACACAGCCTGGCCACAGGCCCAGGTGGCTCTGCCCCGGGGAGACACAGAGCCTTCCCATTTCTTCTTGCTGTGGACTGGGGAGGTGGGTGAGGCAGGCCAGGAATGGCCCCCACACATGCTGGGGGTGGGAGCCCCATCCCTGACACCCAGGATGGAGGGGTTTCTGACACAGGCCGTGTGTCCTGGGGGACTAAAGCCCTCGGAGGCCAGCCTGCGCGGGCCTCGCCCACCCCTCTTCACCTCGCTGACAAAGGCGTGTGGGCAGACACTCCAGGTCCCAGCCGGGCCTGTTCATGGGGAGCAGGACAGTGGCAGGGCGGGGGGGGGGGGGGGCCGGCTCTGGAGGCCATCTGGCTGCCGTCAGGTCTGGTGAAGCTGCCGGTGAATGGCAGGCAGTCCACAGGCAGTGTCGACAAACAGGACACCGTCCTGAGTGCAAGGATGCCGGCGTGAGGGCAGCAGAACAAGACAGGGGAGAAGGCAAACTCAACAGACCAACAGACTGGAAGCCTGAGCCGTGCCGGTCTTCTAGCAGGCCGGAGAAGCAAGGACAGCTCTCCAACTGAGGTCCCCTCTCACTACATTTACTTATTCATCGTTTCTGTTTATTTAGCCAGTCCTTATTTAGCCAGCTCTACTTCCAGCTATTTTTTTTTTTTTTTTTTGGGTCCGGTCATGGGGCCTGAACTCTGGGCCTGGGCGCTGTCCCTCAGCTCTTCAGCTCAAGGCTAGTGCTCTACCACTTGAGCCACAGCACCACTTCCAGCTTTTTTTCTTTTTGTTTATGTGGTGCTAAGGAATCAAACCCAGGGCCTCAGGCATGCTAGGCAAGCGCTCTGCCACTGAGCCACCTTCCCAGCCCCCTTCCAGCTTTTTTGAGTTGTTGATTGGAGGTAAGAGTCTCACAGAAGGCTGGGAATGTGGCTTAGGAGCAGAGTGCTTGCCTAGCGTGCTGATTCCTCAGTACCACATACACAGAAAAAGCCAGAAGTGGTGCTATGGCTCTTGTGGTAGAGCACTAGCCTTGAGCACAGAGAAGCTCAAGGACAGAGGCCAGGCCCTGAGTTCAAGCCCCAGACTGGCAAAAGTAAATAAATAACTACATAATAAATAGAGTGTACTTTACTGGGGGGAAAACGAGAGTCTCACAGACTGTTCCTGCCAGGCTGGCTTCGAACAGCAATTCTCAGATCTCAGCCTCCTAAGTAGCTAGGATGACAGGCTCTGGGCCGTGGTTTCCTTTTATTAGGCAGGGAGAGCGAAGTCAGGCGGTACAGATCCAGGGAAGCGTATCACAGGGACAGAACAGCAACTGGGGCAGAGGTTGCATCTTACCATGAGTTAGGGGGAAGAATCTGCTTTACAGGCCAATAAACGGTAGGGCCTTCAGTTCAAGGCTGTCTCCAGACAGCTGGAAAGGCTGTGGGAGGTGATTCAGATTCAGGGAGGTCTGTGGCAAGAGCAGTTTTATGGCTATCAGGGGCAAAGGTGAGTGTTTTAAGTCGTTTTCCATGGGTGTATATTGCAGCCATACTCAGTGCTGGGTACTGGACATCAGGCCCCAGGGTTACATCCCTGGTGGGAGCAAGCTGTCTTAGTTTGTCGGCTATGGGGCTTGATCTCAGGGCCTGGGTGCTGTCCCTGAGCTCTTTTGGTCAAAGCGAATGCTCTACCACTTTGAGCCACAACTCCAGTTTTCTGGTGGAGTTAATTGGTGATGAGTCTCGTGGATCCTCAGATCTCAGCCTCTGAGTAGCTGGGATTACAGGCGTGAGCCACTAGTGCCCAGCATCAGCTGTTTTCCAAAAGTGTCCTCCAGAGGCTGCACAAGATGAACTCACCTAAGGATGTGTTTTTCAGGGTGGAGCCACACGACTGCATTAACAGTTATTCATTTAAGCCCCACAACTTACCCTGAGGGAAATGCTGAGGTATTGGGCGCCTTGTCAGCCATCTTTTGCATGCAGATCAGCTAAGCGCAGATGCAGGTCCTCCCGAGGGGCAGGCTGGCCTGGGCTGTTCTTGAGCACTGACCTGAGGCTGCTTGGGGCCCCAGGGCTCCGGGAGGGGCTGGTCCCAGGCCCTGCTAGGCAGGGTGGAGGTCCAGGAGGCCTTTGAAGAGCCTCCCCATACCCGTCTGGCTCCCCTGCCAGCTTCCTCTATGGAGGACCTTTCTCCCCACCCCCCTGCTGCTCTGAGAAGAATGGAGGAACGTCACCGACCAGGGATCCCCTGGGGACCAAGGTGGCAGCCTGGGTAACCTCAAGTCCTGCCCCTGGCATTTGCTGGGGGGAGGACAGAGCCGGGTGCTCCCCCTGCAGGAAGCCAATTTAATCTTTGAACTGTGGAGTCAGGTTTGTCCTAGTTGTTCCTGCTGACTCCTCCCAGCCCAGGGCTGTTCTGAAGGGAGTGGGCCCTGCTCTCCCTCCGCCCAGGGGAGGACCCGTCCATTCCCCAGCTCACACTCGTCTGGCCGTGTGCTGCTGAGTTGGGAGCTCACTTGTGCACGGTGTGTCCGGGTAACGTGACCTGTGACCTCCCCGCGGTGTCCTGGGGAGTCCTGGCGGAGTGTGAACACCAGTGGGCAGCCTTGCTCAGTAGCCAGGATGCCACGACCCAGCGGGGCCCTCCGACCTCCCTAGGCACAATGACCTCCCCTGGCAGCTGCTGAAACTGTTCAACAATCAGCTGCAGGGTGAGAAAGCCAACCTGACCGCGCTGACAGGCACGCACACCAACATCCCCAAGCTGAGGGCCGGCTTCGTGGGGGGCCAGGTATGCCGGGCAGGGGCCGCCCCGGGGGCTTCCAGATAGAAAGACCAGAGGCCCTCAGCCCCTGTCCCCTCGGCCCCCAGTTCTGGTCTGCGTATGTGCCCTGTGACACCCAGAACAAGGACGCTGTGAAGAGAACGCTGGAGCAGATGGATGTGATACACCGCATGTGCCAGCTGTACCCTGAGACCTTCCAGTGTGTCACCAGCAGTGCAGGTGGGGTCCCGGCCCGGCCCGGCCCGGCCCTTCACAGGCTTCCTCTGCAGTAAGCTCCAGTGCTGGTGCTGGGTCGACACTCAGCGCCACCCTTCCTCCTGCTCCTCCCAGGCGTCCGGAAGGCCTTCCAGGAGGGGAAGGTGGCCAGCATGATCGGTGTGGAGGGTGGCCACTCCATCGACAGCAGCCTGGGCGTCCTGCGGACACTCTACCACCTGGGCATGCGGTACCTGACCCTCACTCACAACTGCAACACTCCGTGGTAAGTGCCCACTGTGAGGATGAGGCTTCTCAGGAGGCGAATGTGGCCGACACCTGTGGGCCAGGGTCGCGGGTTGGCCAAGGCCTGTGCCCACACCACCCCCCGTCCCCACTCTGTCTCCAGGGCTGACAACTGGCTGGTGGACAGAGGGAGTGACGAGGCCAGGAGCCACGGGCTGTCACCCTTTGGGCAGGTGAGGGGGGGACGAGGACCTCGGTCCCTGGAGAGGGCAGAGGGCCGGAGGTGGGGTCAGAAGAGGGGGCTCACTCCTCATAAGACAGAGCTGGCTGCCGATGCCCAGGGTGGAACTCTCTAGAACTCTGTGGCCCATGACTGGCCTCTGAACGTTGAGTCCCTGGGGGCCAGTTAGCGCCCGGCCCAGTGCTCTGCACGCTGAGCAGGGCGGGGTGGGCCGGGATGTGGACCCCAGCCCCGCCTTTCGCCAGCACGTGGTGAAGGAAATGAACCGCCTGGGCGTCATGATCGACCTGGCCCATGTGTCAGTGGCCACCATGAAGGCTGCCCTGCAGCTGTCCAAGGCTCCAGTCATCTTCAGCCACTCCTCAGCCTACAGCCTGTGTGATAGCCGCCGGAACGTGCCAGACGATGTGCTGCAGCTGGTGGTGAGGGGCCGGGCATGGGGGGCACACAGAGGGGGGACGGGCGTGGAGAAGGATGGGCATGGGGGACAGGCATGAAGGGGGGCAGGCAGAAGGGGGACTGGGCACAGGGGGGTCTGGGTGTGGAGAGGGTGCTCAGGAGGGGGGCCCAGGCACAGAGGGGGGCCTGAGTGTGGAGAGGGGTAAGTGTGGAGGGGGCTTGGGAGCAGAGGGGGGCCCTAGCCCCCACAGCTTCCTCCTGCTCAGCTCCACCTGTCTCTGAGCAGAAGAGCACCCACAGCCTGGTAATGGTGAACTTCTACAACGACTTTGTGTCCTGCAAAGAAGAAGCCACCCTGTCCCAAGTGGCTAGTAGGTTGGGAGTGGCCATGAGACCCGGTGAGGGGGGGGCGGGGGCTCCGGGGGACCCACACATGTTACTCCCACAGACCACCTGGACCACATCAAGAAGGTGGCAGGTGCCGAATCTGTGGGCCTTGGGGGAGACTTTGATGGTGTGGAAAGGTAAAGGCTGGCCATGACAGGGCTGGGGTGGTGGGCATGGGGTTGGAGGGAGGCCCGGGGGTGGAGGAAGAAAGCTGTGCTCAGGGCAGCGTTCTAGAAGCCTGCTCTCCTGACCCCCGGCTTGGGAGCAGCCATCTGCAAAGCCTGGTGCTCTTGACCTTGGCACAGGCTTCCTGTGGGGCTGGAGGACGTCTCCAAGTACCCAGACCTCATTGCTGAGCTGCTCAGGAGAAACTGGACAGAGACAGAGATCAGGGGCGTGCTGTCAGAAAACCTGCTGAGGGTCTTCCTCCGTGTGGAGGAGGTGAGGATGAGTGGCCACTGGTGTCCCCACCCCTCCCCTGTGCTGGGCCAGCAGCTGACCAGCCTGCGTGTCCCCAGGTGAGCAGTCCTCAACAGGCCCCTGACGATGAGCCCATCCCACTGGACCAGCTGGATGGCTCCTGCAGGACACAGTATGGCTACTCAGCTGCCCCCGGCCTCCACCACCAGCCAGGGGCCTTGCTGACCTCCCTGGCCACACTGATCTTCAGCCTGAGTCTTCTGTGATACCTGGGGGACCAGAACCCACTTCAGAGATCCTGGAGCTGAGAGAAGACAGCTGAGTCTGGAGTCCACAGCCCCAGGACCCCACTGCCCGTGTTCGAGCCCCACCTTCTCCTGAGTAGACACCGGGCTTGCTGGTGGGGTGGGGGCAGTTGGGGTGAAGCCTAATGGACCACAATGAAATGGATGGTCCCCTGAGGTTCTGCCTGTGTTGTCAGCACCCCAGCCACAGGGCTGCGCTCCTGAACAAAGATGGACCCAGGTGGTCTGGAAGCCACGGGCTGAAGGGAGCTCAGGCCATCTGGAGAAAGGTTCTGCAGAGACACTGCTCAAAGGGGTGGCCAAGCTCCAGTGGCCATCAGTAGCCCATCACATGCACACATCTCCCTCACGAATGCATGCAGGCACACGCGTGCATATACACGCAGCCTGGTACACACAGGATCTGTCACAGACACACAAATGCCACATGCAGACAGACACATTCACCCTGGGGGTGTAGGAATCTGCATTTGCAGAACAGTTCCTTTGATTCAGCCTCTGGGGAGTGGAGAGCTTCCAGATCCACCACACACCCCACAGGGGTAGAGACCACCCCACCCTGAACAGAGACTCAGCCTTCAGAGGCTGCCGTGAGGCTGTCTTGTGAATAACCTCATGACCACAGAGCATTGCCACTGCCCCCTCCTGACCCCAGTCAGTGTCAGCACTCGGGCGGGGCGCCCCTGACCCCAGGTCCACAGGGGGTGGGGTGCCTGGGCGTCATGGAGCCCCCTCCCTGCAACACACGTTGGATGCACCGTCCCTGGGAAGAGGTTGGAGGGCCTCACGCCTGGGGGCTGGCCCAGCACCATCCAGGCCAGGCCAGCTGGGGAGCGTGGAAATGGAGGCCTGGCCCCAGGGCCATGGGCCCTGACACAGAGCCATGCCTTCACAGCCCTCGTGATACCACCAGGCAGCTCCACCACCCAAGTAGAGCTCAGCATCTTGACTGCTGCTGACAACTTTGGGTCAACTTAAAGGGAAAAGGTCCAGTGAGTTCCTGAGGCTCCCCTGGCCAAGCTTGTAGAGTGGCTCCCTCTGGTGGAACTCCCAGTATTGGATCTAAAGTAATAGCTACAGTAAAAATCACCCTGAATCACCAGAGGATGCACCTGGCCTGCCACCCAGACACACATCTGGTCCCAGAGGGCTGAGAGCTGCAGTAGGTTTTCAAGTGTCCCCCCATTCCTTCCTTGGGTCGACCTCCCTCCCCAGAACAATCCAGTGGGAGGCTGGCCGCACAGAGGCTGGGTGAGGCCCAGCCCGTCCTGGTGCGGCCAGACTCTCCACCTTCTTGGCTGTCTCTACTTAGAAGGGCTCACAGTGGCCCACACTGAGCAGTAAACCTGCTAGTCATCAGGACCAAGAAGGAAAGACAAGCGCACAAACACTAGAAACAACACAGAACAAACGCAAGCACAGAGAGGAGACCGTGGCAGTAAATTCTGAAGCAAGGGGCTGCCCAGGTGTGTGCACATGCGTGTGCAGAAGCAGTCTGCGTGTGCTGCGCATGTACAAGTGCACACAGCAGCAGTGTTCACACACATGCATGTGTGCAGCCAGTTTATGCACATGTGCTGCACACACGTGCACACAGCAGCAATCGGCATGTAATGCATGTGTAGCAGCAGTCTGTGCGTGCACACGTCTGTGTGCAGCAGAAGTTGTGCAGTTTTACACGGACAGTCTGGCCTGGGTTGTGAGGCCCCACAATGGAATGCCAGGATGTGGCTCCTGCCAGCAAAGTGTAAAAGCAGGCCAGCACTGTTTTCATACAGTCGATAGCCAGGTGAGACACCTGTGCTGCTCTATATTGTAAGGAGAGGCAATTAGCAAATCTAAAACACTTGTGTAAAATAGCAAGCTGAACCAATCTGAAGCACTGCAAATAAGCAAAAAAAAAAAAAAAAAAAAAAAAAAAAAAGGAGGGCTGGGAAGGTGGCTCAGTGGTAGAGCGCTTGCCTTGCATGCCAGAGGCCCTGGGTTCGATTCCTCAGCACCACATAAGCAAAAAAGAAAAAAGCCGGAAGTGGCGCTGTGGCTCAAGTGGTAGAGCGCTAGCAAAAACAAAAATGAAGAGGCTGGGAATGTGGCTTACTAGTAGAGTGCTGGCCTCGCCTGCACGAAGCCCTCAGTTCAATTCCTCATACCACATAAAAAGAGAAAGCCAGACGTGGCACTGTGGCTCAAGTGGTAGAGTGCTATCCTTGAACACAGAGAGGCTCAGGGACAGAGCCCAGGCCCTGAGTTCAAACACGAGGACAAATTTTTTTAAAAGATTAAAAAAACAAAAACAAAAACAAAAAGTGGCCGGGCACTGGTGGCTCACACCTGTAATCCTAGCTACTCAGGAGACTGAGATCTGAGGATCATGGTTCAAAGCCAGCCCAGACAGGAAAGGCCATGAGACTCTTATCTCTAATTAACCACTAGAAAACCGGAAGTGGTACTGTGGCTCAAGTAGTGGAGTGCTAGCCCTGAGCTGAAAAACTGAGGGACAGTGCCCAGGCCCAGAGTTCAAGACCCAAGACCGACCAAAAAAAAAAAAAAGTGAAGAAATGAATGACAGGCAAATTCTCACTGTCAAAGACAGCTCAAGAATGTTACAGCAGATGGCACTGGTGAGAGTTGAACTAATGAGGGTGAAAGAGAATGAATATGGCCAAAGTAGGTTGTCCCAATGGATAAAAAAGACAAGGAAACCTGCTGCCGTTGTGTTAAAGGCAGGCGTGGGGCTGCCGGCTAGGAAACTGGAATACGCTGTATATATGCATAGAAATGTCACAACGGAATTGCCTTCTACAGCTAGTGTACAACCAAAAAAAAGAGAGACAGCTTAATTGGAGTCGGCACGGCAGTTCACACAATCCCTAGGATGAGAAGGCTGAGGAGTGGACTGTGGAGTTCAAGGTCAGTGTGGGCTGCATAGCAAGTCTCTAAAATAGATGTTACGGAAGTGGTGCTGTGGCTCAAGTGGTAGAGAGTTTGCCTTGGGCTGAACAGCTCAGGGACAGTGCCCAAGCCCCAAGTTCAAGCCTCACGACAGACAAAAATAAACAAAAGACAGATGTGGGGCTGGGAAGGTGGCTCAGTGGTAGAGTGCTTGCCTTGCATGCATGAGGCCCTGGGTTCGATTCTTCCACACCACATACACAGAAAAAGCTGGAAGTGGTGCTGTGGCTCGTGGTAGAGTGCTCACCTTGAGCTGAAGAGCTCAGGGACAGTGCCGGGCCGAGTTCAGGCTCCACAACCAACGACAACACAAAGCAAAACCCCAAATGTTATACATAAGGAGAGGGCCTTATGCTGTGTGCACTCTGATGCCCACACTGAGTGCTCTTCACGTGGTGGCAGCCACACCGCTGGTGGAGGCAGTCTGTAAGCGGCATCCTCTGCAGCCCTGGCTGCTGCTGGGCTGAGCAGGGCAGCCCTGCAGCCCTGCACGCCCTGAGGTGCTGGGGGCAGAGCCCTGGTCCATGCCTCCGTGGCCAGCTTGAGCACTGCACACTAGACAAGCTCAACACTTTCCAAGTTTTGTTAGTTGAATGTTTTTCAAGATGAAAAAGAAACTAGCACCCAAGTTCTCGTGCACTTCGCTGGGGGGGTGGGGGGGTCTGTATTTCTTGCACCCCTGCCTCTCTCCTGTCTGCCCTCTACAGACACCTATTCAGGCTCTTGGGAGAGGCCGGGTGATGCCTCTAGGCCCCCCCAGCCACACCACGGCAGCCAAACAAAGCTCTACGAGGTTTACAGGCATGTTTATTCAACAGCATTTTAATAAGGTCCCATGTCCAGGCTGCGATGCACCTCCGCCCACTAGCCCCAGAGGGAACCCCGCACCCTGGGATGGGGTAGCAGATGCCCCAGTGGCTTCCCAGGACAGGCAGCAGCTCCCCTCGACTCCTAGCACGAGTGGATCTCAGGGAGCCTGGAGGGACGGGGCTGGACTGTGCCTTGAGAGCCCACATCCAGGCCCTGCATGTCACCCGCCTCCCTCCGCAGCACACCTCGAAACCCAGAACACAAAGAACCAAACGTAGCGAGTCCGAGTCCAGGCAAGTCCCCATGTTTCTGAGTGAGCCTGTGGTCTCGGGGTAGTGCCGACACTGCTCACCACTTGTGCTGGACCCAACATCCCACACGCTGCCCACTTCTACTTTGGCAACAACAAAACAAACAAAAACAAAAATAAAAAACCAGGATCGTCAAGAACATGAGAAAAGTTCAGGAAACAGAAGAAACGAACAGCAGCCTGTGCCAGGCCCCTCTGTTTACCCACAGCCAGGGGTCCACTGCACAGACAGCTGTGGAGTGCCAAGCCAGCCAGAGACCTGGCCAGGCCCTCGGTCAGCCACGCTTCTTCATGCGCAGTCAGGAGCAGGAAGCCAGAGAGAGACCCAGGGGCATTCCACCGAGTGAGAGGCACAGAGGGGGTAGCTGAGTGAGGAGCCGCCATCAGCGCCAGGGCAGACACAGAGCAAGCTCAGCCCAGGACACCTCCGGGGGAGGCCAGCAAGGGTAAGCACACCAGTGTGGGTGTGCCTGGACTTGGATCGGGGCAACAGTTCTGTCCCTGTGGGCTAGACAGAGGAGCCAAGGACAGGAGGCCCGAGCAGGCTCATCCACTGGTGATTACAGCCAACACCCTTGGCCTACAAGGACAGAGAGGAGGGCCACGGCATGTTGGTGGCACTGGACATCCTCTGGCACACACAGGTCCACAGTCATCTCCTCGGAGCTGCTAGGCAGCGGGTGTCTTGGACCCTCAGACCCAGTCACTGGACACCGAGGGCCCCCAGAGCTGTGACGTCCACACGCACTGCTGGCCAGACCCTGCCAACTCCACACAAGCAGAGGACAGAGCAGCCTGCCAATCTCCTGGCTACAGTCACAGAAGCCACACACACAGGTTTGTGCAAACTCAACAGTGGGACAAAGATCCACCTACACCTAAAAGAAACAGGATCAGTTCTGAGGCACCAACCGGCCTGGCATGTGGGAGAGCCAGGCCGGGCTGCTGCCCAGCTCTGCAGGTCAGATGACTCTGCAGGTCAGATGACTCTGCAGGTCAGATGACTCTGCAGGTCAGATGAGGCCGGCACACTGGGGGAGGGGCGCAGGAGTCTCCAGCACAGCACAGGCAGGGGTGTGCCACC